CTGAAGGTGTGTGTATCCTCCTTGCCCGCATAGGAATGCCCTTGGCCACAATCTGAAACAGCAGGGAAACACAAGCCATGCTTCTGGCCAAAACTGTGGGATTTTAGTACAAGCATCATCCCCTCACCCAAGCACTGCACTCAGGGAAGAATGGGGGGGTTCTTTCCTCACACATTTCCAAATAACCAGGGAAAACTTTAACAGGGCTGTCACATCAATTTACTACAGTTTACTGAGATAACTTACAAGCTCATTCTTATAAAAATCAGAGGGAAATTGTTTTTGGATAGAAGGGACATGTAAAATCCCAGAGTGCTGGACAGGGCAGGGGATGAAAGCCAAATTACATCCTGGGACTGGGATGTGTGTTGTCAAAGCCTGGGCTCCTCTGCAGGGATCCAGGGACCAGAAGATCCCACCACAGCCAACAGCTGGATGTTAAATGGTAGGCAGTACCCTGCAGAAGAGTGCTGGGCTCCCAGCCGAGCATGCTGGGCAGAAGGCAGTGTGGATGGATGTCAGGGATCAGCCCAAAGACCAAGGTTTTTTGGGAAAATACAAATCTGGACGTGTCTGTGGGGAAAACAGCTGCCTTTATTGCATCCTGCTTTATTGCATCAGCTCTTTTGGGAGTCCATCTACTCCTGCCCTGTTTGCCCTCTTCTCCAGGAGGGAGGGGAGCACAGCAGGGAGGTAAACACAGGAAGGTGCTTGGTGTCCCAGGGAAGCGCTCACTGCCAGGTGCAGAGCCCAGCTGCCTGGCATGGGGAAGGTCCTGCTGGCAGATGTGCTGTGAAGCAGGGGAGAGCCAGACTGCAGGCATGCAGTGGAAGAGGTCTGGCTGGGACAGGGCAAGAAAGGAGAGGACACAGAGACCCCCACCAGCACCAGATGTGCCAGAGTACCTGGTTCTCCATCCCCACAGCTCGCAGGGCTTGGCGTCCCCTGTGAGACAGGGCCAAGTTGATGCTCCTGCCACGCGCAAAGCTGGCCACTCGGATATCTGCAGGGGAGAGCAGCTGGTTGTGGAGGCAATGATAGCACAGCCTGGGGAGGGGAACATCTCCCAAGCCCCCTGCAGTAACAGCAGGTGGGGTAGGGGGGAGCCTAGCCTGGATCCTCCGTGCCACCTCCAGCCTGGAAGAAGCAGCTGCAGCCAAGAGCTGCAAAGGGAATGCTGGATTCTGACAGCGCCCCACGTGCCAGAGGGTCCATTAACATTAAGAGCCATTTCCCCTCTAAATGGAGAAAGCTGAGCAATGAATGCCTGCCAGGTTCTGCTGAGGTCCACAGGCTGATGCTTTTTGTGACGTTGGCAGGTCACCTTCTTCATGCCTGATCAGATGGAAATGTCTGGGAATTGGCCTGTTCCTCCTCTGAGTTGTCTCTTTTAGACTTCCTGGGCTGTCTGGCCAGCATATGGGACAGAGCCTCCTCATCCCAACATGGGTATCACTGTAAGCAGTGGGACAAATGGACTAGCACAGTAGGATCCATCCAACTCAGAAGGCAGGTGAGAGCAACCAGAGGCTTTTTGAAGCTGTGGAACTTCTGTCAGCTGTAAGCCATGCAGCAGAACTGCCTGTTCTGCTGTCTGTCAGGGCAGGAAGAGTTACTGCAGAGTGTCAGGCATGGCTCCTCCTCCCCTTCACCGCACACTTGAGTCATTTCTCTTCCCATGGTATCATTCCCACCTGCCATTCAGTTTGCCACCTCTACCAAGGTTTCTTTTGTCTGCCAGCTGACAGATACTGAAGATGAACAATTTCTCTGCCTTTAGCTCCAAATCCTAATTTCTCTTTTGTGGTGCCTTGTGGACCTGGAGGCTCCATCTCCGGATGGAGCACTGTACTATAATGCTTCCTGCAGAGACCAGGCTTCAAAGGTGAGGATTTGAATCAGTGTTTAAGCCAAGAATATAAAAAAGGGCATCATTTTAGTAGATAAAGAGTGGGTTCCCTCCATACAAGATGAACTTCAAATAAATGCTCCTCCCCACCACAGGAGCTAAAGGGGAGAGAGAAAAGAACATCCCCAAACTGCCACTCTCAAATTTGGTTATTTTCTTGCAGTTTCAGTGAGCTCTCAGTAATGATCAGACTGACCTTACCTTCTCTGGCTTCATAAACGTCAACATGGAAACCTCTTCTAGCCAAGAAACAGGCATTTAACGCACCCACCTGCAAGAAAAGGATCAGGAATGGTGGGTGAAGTATTTCAGAGGGCACTACTGAGATGCATCAAAGGAAAGAAGTGATCAAAGGATGCAGCTCAGCATAAACAGGGAGGTCCTTTGACCAAGAACCTGAGAAGATTTTTTACTGAAGTCCTCTGGCAGCCCTGTGTGTTTGCAGAGTCTCCAAGACAAAAGCCACCCATCAAAACTCTTTTTATAAAGTCTAAAATGTTTGTAAAGTTTATACCAAGCTCAAGCTTGTTTACACACAGCAGCTGAGTGCAGCAGGGCTCACCTCTTCAGCCAGAGGCAGCAGGAGCTGGTGTAGACAAGTTCCCAGCTCCTTTCTGGACTCTGTTTACCTTCCTCACTAGAATTCAGAGTGTAGCAGCATTCCCTTGGGAACATAGTGAGGGAGAACAGTACAAATATGTCCTGTTTGTAATTTAAATTAATTAAAAAATCTAATTTCCATTATGAATTGTTGTCAGAACTACAGCCTCTTCTGTTATCACTCTTTTCCAAGGAGCTAATGTCCAAAAAGTCAAGAGAAAGATGTAGGTGCTGCAATACCCCAAGCTGTCACAGAATCACAGACTCATAGAATGGTTTGGGTTGCAAAGGATGCTGAAGACCATCTTGTTACAACCCCCTGCCATGGGCAGGGACACCTCCCACTAGACCAGGTTACTCAGAGCCCCATCCAGCCTGGCCTTTAGTGTCACACCTCTCTGCAAGTAGCAGTAGATGAGAACCATTCCCAAACAAAAGTGGGCAGAGGAAGGCATTTCCTCCCAGCCTGGCTTTTACCACTCTCAGTTCTTATAAAGCATTTCACACTAGAGATTTGATTACAGCCAAAATCAGCCAAGGGACTGGGGAACCTGGCAGCCCAAACAAGGACTTTTATTTGGTGTACCTGGGCACCACTGCTCCACCCACTACCCAAACCCCTTCATCTGACAAAAGGACAGGAGCCTCCCACAGTAGGAACTCAATCAACCCCTTGGCAACACCCCATCATCTGACAGAGGAATGATTTTAAGAAAAGCATTCACCCCCACATTCAAGCAGTGTTTTTACAGCCCCAGCTCCCCAGCAAACACAATCATGCAGCAGCTAAATGGCATTTCCTACCAGACCACCACCGACAATAGCAACTCTTTTCCCTCGTGGGTCACAGGGCTCCATGCTAGGTCAGCCCCTGGCTCTCAGATCCCTGCTCAGTCTCTGATCCCTCTGCTTCTCCCCAGTCCCTCTGCCCTTGCCAGTGGGGAGGGGAAGGGAAGGACTGTGGGTGGCTGAGTCATGCCTGGGTTCTTCTCCCCCAATCCATATTAAAGTTTAACTCCCAGCCCAGAGACTGTCAGGGAGTCAGCCTGGCTGAGGCTGAGGTGTTGAGAGAGCACCGTGGTGTTGTTCAGTCAGGCTCCATCCAAAGGCCTCTTTTGGAACTTGTAGAGCAATCCTGCAGTCTCCAAGGAATACACACAGAGCAGGAGCCAGGCTTTTGCATCGGCCAGGCTTTTGCTGGGATGCAACTGCAAAGGCATTGGTGGGACAATGTGGAGTGACTTCTGGAGCCTCACACACTCTCTCCTGAGGGTGGGAAGGAAGCCACACTACTTGCCCAGGAGCCTCATCCCATCCTTGAGCACATCTTTCATCCAAGGAAGCTGTGTGTGGCTCAGGCGTTTTGGGGGGGTGATGCTTAGGAGAAGGTCCATGCCTGCTCTGCAGAAGCTTTCCAGGACTTAGACAAGGCTGTGAGGAAACATCTCTGCAGGCATTATCTCACATGCCCATCCTTGGGAGGAAATGCTCTGCTGAGCCAATGCTGCTCACAGTAAGCTTTGAAAAAGGAGGAGCCAATTAGGGCCAACACACAATAAATAAACAGCAGACAGTGGTATAATCAAGTACAATTTATTGCTAAACCTGCCGGGCACCAGCAGCTTTGGCTCATAGCATTGTTAAGGTAGAAAAAGCCCTCTGAGAACATCGAGTCCCAGCTGTTAACCCAGCACTGCCAAGCACACCACTAAGCTATGACCCTAAATGCCACATCAGCATGGCTATCAAAGACCCACAGGAACGGGGCAGGACCCAAATGCTTCCCTGGGCAGCCTCTTCCTATGTCTGACAATGTTTCCAGGTAAGAATTTCTTCCTAATATTCAATCTAAACTCCTGTGGCATAACTTGAGGCCATTTCCTCTTTCAGGTAGTTGTAGAAAGTGAGAAGTTGTAGAGAGCAATAAGAATCTCAAAGACGACAGAGCAGAGAGGGCAAAGAGCAAGGTAGGTTTTACACAGTAAATAAATTATTCATTAATTGGTTTTGCAACACAGCACACTATTTAGCTTCCAGCAGTGGCAGTTACTATCTTTTCTTCATTCCAAACAAAATTTAGGTCCCTGGGTTTTCTTAATCAGACTAGCTCACAAACTGCATGAGGCAAACCCGGTGTACAGATGTTCTCCACTTTAAAAACAGAAGGTGGGAAGATACTGAGAAAGTGCTACAAAATGATTGTTCATCTTTCTATATTAAACAAAATCAGGCTGCTGAGAGCATTAAAAAGTGTTGCCTGATAAAAACTCTGAGTGAGCCTTTTAAGAAGTTCTAAATAAAACTAAAAAGAACAGGATAACATGGGTATGGATTAAAGCCTGCCCTCTGAAAACTAGTGGGAAAAGTAAAGGAGGGAAAAGTGTTTGATTTGTGTTGCTGAAGAAAAAGACATGCCAATGGCTGAGGAAGAACATCAGGACTTTATTGTTTTTAGAAAGGCTATGGTCCACTTGCAGAGGATCCTGTACTGTCAGTATGTGGGCCACCTGCAACAAGAAAAATGGGGTTATTGTGTTTAGTAAGAGCCAGTAGTACTTCAGCTGCAAAAAGATGTGTTTGGTCTCATAGGTTGTGGGGAAAGGCAGCTGAAGAAGAGGAAGAACGTAGTTTAAAAGCCATGACAAAACCTGATCTCTTCAAACAGTGAATTGCACTGATCCTGACAGGAGCCAGGAGTTCTTTACTGGTTCAGATTACAAACCCGTGTCAAGGGGAAATAGGTAGAAATGTTCATCCTTTATAATCCCATTAGGTAAATAATCTGTTCAGGAATTCAAATCCTCTGCTAAAGAGGGCTGTACAGATACCCCTGCCAGCAGGTCATCTGTGCCCAAGGCTGCAGCTGCCTCCATCCTGTTCTCCTGTTCACTAAGGCTCTGAAAGAGCAATGGCACAGAAATAAAAGTTGAGCTCTCACAGTGTGTCCCCATGTCACCCTCCCTTCCATGCTCTAGCAGGGTGCACTTCTTTACCAGCCTTGGCATACAAGAACTTCCTAGCACCTAGGAAGCCAGGCAGGACAAGCTCAGATGAAGGCACAAAGCAAGTGAGCCCCTGGAGGAGCTGGCTGTGACCTCTGCACAGGGCTCAAGGCTTCCATGAATCTGGGAGCATCCTGGGGAAAAGCTCATCCATTTCTGCACTTGAAACCCACCCCCTTCAACAGCAAGCACAAGCTTATGGCAAAGGCTCAGCATTATTTCTGATACTCCCCTCCCTTTGTACCATTTTTCTTAGCTGGTGGTTTGGGTTTTTATTTCCCCAGGAAATTCTGATTAGCAAACGTCCCAGCAGTGCTTTAAGAACATAAATCCTTCTGGGAACCTTAGCCCAAGCATAAAACACTTCCCCCACCCCCTGCCTTATTTAGCAGATGACTGCTGGGTGTACAGGGAGAGCCAAAAGGCTCTGCAGAGCAAAGCAATACAGCATGGCAGGGTGGGGGATCTGTGTGATCCTCATCCTTGTCAGGATGAGGATTGTGAAATAAACGTGTCATCCCACGTTTATTTCACAATCTGCCTTGCCACCCCACCTGGGCAGGGAGAAACTGTGAAGTGCACTTCACAGCTGCCTGCTTACTTACATAGGCTGGGCAGAGCTTGCAGTCCAGTGCTGTGCTGGGGATGTGGACAGGAAACCTCTGGGGGTCACTGGGAACACCTCTGTGGGAGGGTAATGGTGGTGGTGGTGCACCACAGGTGGCTTGGGCCTGTCTCCTTTCATGGCCAGGGGAGCAGCGAGCTGCAGGTCCTTGGTGGAGAGAGACAAAGGGTGGCTGCAGAAACCTGTGTCCCCACGGAGGGGGGGTCCCTAGCTGAGGGGTCAGGGTTCCACTCAGCCACCCCTTGGGAAAGGAAGGCCTCTGGGATGTGTCTGGAGAAGAGCCTGCAGGTTCCAGTAAAGAAGGTCCAAGAACATTTGGTGACTTCAGATTTCACCTGATATTCAGACCCCGCTCCCTCCAATTTACTCCATTAGTCAATGTCAGGGAAATGCAGAATGACAGGATGGCCTGGAGAGGAAGGTGGGCATCAGGGCATGCTCTTCCTCTGTCATCTTTCCTAAGGTTCAGTGTCCTCCACAGTCCTCTGGCTCTCCCAGCCCTTTGTGTGCTGTGTCCAGGCCTTGTTCCCTCTCAGGGAGATGAGCCATTGCCTGGTGTGGGCAAGGATGCCCTTGAGGCTGGGGGATTGTTACCTGCTGCGTGTGCTGGGGCAGGGCAGAGCTGGCTCCCCCAAGCTGTGTGAGCACCGTTGGTGGCAGAGCCTTCAGCATCATGTTTTGCATCATGATCTGGTGCATCTGAGCATTCTGGATCAGCATCATCTCCACCATATCTGGGAAGAGAAGAGCAGAGTAAGAGCTTTATCCACAGCTGCCAAGCAGCAGAGGCATCATGGCAAGGAGTGCCCGCCAGCACACAGACTGCTCACTGCAACCAAGGCAGAGCAGCTGGAAGGGGGCACATGAAGAATATTGGCAATATTTCCCCAGAAAGTGCAGAGTTAATGTTTGTGAATGGGATTGTTCATACCAGCTTTCCTGTTTCTCCTCCCTTCTACAAGAAAGCTGCTGCTGAGTATCTTGTCTGTTGCCTGCCCTGCAAGCCCACACCCCCACCTATGCTGGATGGCAGGATGGAGAAGAGATGCAGCTTTCCCTTACTCCAGCATGGACAGGCTCCTGACTGTGCTCTCCATTGCTTCAGCCCCAGATCGCTGCTTTCCATGTGAGAGGTTTCCTCAAATTTATGTGATATTGCACTGCCACCTTGAGAGTCCACAGATTCATAGAATTGTAAAGGTTGGAAAAGACCTTTAACATCATCAAGTCCAACCCTTAATCTGTCATTTCATGCACATCAAATTTCCTAACATGATCTCTGGGATCCAAAGGACTTGTGCAGTATAATTAATTTCCTTTGGGAGAAGTGAAAAAGGGCAGGTGATGAAAAAAAGAAGGGAAAAAGCAATGAAGGCAACTCTCATTGTCCTTTTTTCTGATCATACAAAAAGTAGTTTACATGGACCAGCTTCAGAGAAGTCATGAGTGGATTGGGACTATTTTGGTTATGGAAATAAACTCTGATTCAAAAATCCAGACACTTAGATGAAGTGGGAGCTGAGAAATACTGCTGTTTCATGACTGAGGATTCCTGTGTGGGATGAACCTTTGGCTGAAGGCTGAGACAGGGAAATTGTCCCAGGTTTTAGTTCATGTATTACTTCACAGTAGCACCCACCTATGTTTAGAAACAAACACTTTTATTGGCATTGCACTATATTTAGAACAACACTTTCAGATGCTCTGTCTTGTTTCCAAACACAGAGTACAAATAAAAGCCTGAGGAGATTGAACAGCTGGTTAGGAAGGAACAAAAGAATAAAACCAGATTTTAGAAGCCTGTTTGCTAATTCTGGAATCATCCAAGTGCATGGGTTTGACTTTGTTAATATTACTCAGTGCCATGAGTTGATTACTCATGAGCTGAGCTGTTTTGCTTTCCCAATCTTCCCTTGAGTTTGTAGTTCCTCTTTCTTTAGTTTTAGTGATAAGAGTTTGCCTTAATGCCTTTCACAACTGGTACCCATCCCACTTATGAAGCACAACTCCCAAAGCTCCACCAGCTCATTAAACAGCACATCACTAACTAGCTTGGCCACTATCCCATGTCCCCTTCCACCTGCCCTGCCCCTCTGCAGGCCTAGTGACAGGAGCTGGCTGCTATATGGAGAATTTGTTACCTTCTTTAATGCTCCCAGGGCTGGGGGCTGCAGAGGGCTGGGCTGGCAGAACCTGTGTGACCAGAGGGGATGGCTGGGGCAACTGCTGGATGATGGTGGCAGGTTGAGTTGGCATCTGGAACAGGAAGGAAAGTGGAGAAGTCAGGGTTGGATTTGGCCAGCTGGTCTATCTATGGGAACAGCTGTCATCTGCCTAGGCTTCAGGAAAACTCTGGGATTCTCGTGGAGAAGCTGTGGAGGTTGTGGGCTGCATGAGCAGACTGATGTGTGTTAGAAAGTGGCTGAATGGCCAGGCTGGAGTGTGGGCAGCTCTGCCACTCCTTCTGCCATCTTGTTCCTAGGGTAAACCATTCCCATTGTTAATTTTGAGCCTTATTTGCAAGATGATTTCCCCTTAGGTTTTGCTGCAGGCAGCAAGAGTCCCATAAAAGAGCAAGAGATGTATCTTCCAGTTTTGTGGGATGAGCAATTCCATGCAGCTCCCAAATGATTGTCAGCTCAGACTGGCACAGTGCTAGTGGTGCTTTCTAGGAGACAATCCTTACTGCCTGCTGGATAATCCTTGGTGGCTCCACTTGGGAAGCTGGAAAAGGGATCTGGTAGACTTGTGGGAGGGCAGCTCTGTGGTCATGGCAGTGTCCCCCAGCTGGTGCAGGTGGCTGTGAAAGCTCTTCCAGAAGGTGCTGCTCCTGCAAAGTCAAGTATTTTCCTGAAGAAAATCTGGTCACAGCAAGGCAGAGAGAATGGTTATGCTCTCTGGACCAAATGGGATTAGCCCCTTAGTGCATCAAGGGCACTGTCAGTGCCTGTGTAAGTATAAAGAAAGTTTTCCTTCCCACAGATGTTTAAGCATAAGCAAAAAGGATTGGGAAAAAAAAAAAAAAAAGTGCAGAACAAGCTGCCAAAAGTCTGGCAAAACTTTTCCATAATAGTTGGTATCCTCCACAAAGTAGGAATAAATAACAATTACTGTTGTCTCTACTTTGGCATTGCTAAAAATCCCTTCTTTGCATTTTGGCACAGAAAGTTTACGGAACAGCAGTTCAGGACAAACAGAATCATCCCCCCTGTAGTACCTGAGGCAGCTGCAAGCTCCTAGAGCTGTAGTGAGGGCAGCCAAGCTGCTCCCCAGGCTCTCTCCCTGATTAGCTAGCCCAAAGCATATTTTTATATATATATATATATATATATATATATATATATATGTATGTATGTATGTATATGTATATGTAGATAGATAGATATAGATATAGATAGATATAGATATAGATATGTATATAGATAGATATAGATATAGATATAGATATATAGATATATATAAATATATAGATATATAGATATAAAAATATATCTATATATATTAAAATATATAATATATGTAATATATATTATCTATTATAATATATTTTAGATAGATAGATGTACACATACATTATTATTATTATTATTATTATTATTATTATTATATTCTAAAGCAGCAGAGCACTAAATCCTGTCCAGCCCCAGAACTAAAGGACAGGAAGACACTGAATCCACATCAGCAGTGGATGTACAGATCACCGGGCTCTGTTACTTCTGGCCAAAGAGGGCTCTTACCCTAAGCTCCTGCAGCAGATCTTTCCTTTGCCTCAGGGCACTTTGGAGCATGTCCTGATGTCTGTTCCCTGGAAGAGGAAAAGTCCATTATCTTCTCAAAGGATCACAAAGACAGAGCTATTACAGCACCTGTATTACGATATTAATGTGGAAAATGTGTTATTAGATAGCTTAATATTGCATATAGGTAAAGCCTTAATAATAATAATAAATAAATAATAATAAAGTAAGGGCCTTGTTACCCATGTAAAACCATGGCTCAGGCCTGCTACTTTGGCTAAGCAGAAGAGGGCTATGGGAAATTGACTCAGCTGAATTAGAGGCAGAAAAACAAGTTATATAAACATTGTGTGCTCACATCGTGGTGTATGCTGGTTGGCTGGATTATGCTTGTTGTGATTTAAAACTGTGTAACTGGGAAAGGCCTAAATGCTCTAAAAGGCCTGGTTTTTGCAATAAAAAGCAGAGGCTCCCCTCTGCACCTGCCTGAGGACTCTGTGTTGCCCTGCTTTAACAGCCTGAGTTCTTCCACAAAAGGCTTGTGGAAAAGGCTGTTTCTTGTCAAATACATGTATGGAAAATGACTTTATGCATGTGCAGTCACAGCTGCTCAGCAGCTCTACAAAGGTAAAACACCTCTTAAAATAAACTCTTTAGATTGCTCTCTGAAGCCTCCTTTGAACCTCCTGGTTTAGGAATCGGTTTTAGCCTGAAAGTTTCTAGATGTACCCTGTGCATGCAGAGGATGACTGTCTGTAGTAACAGCTCAAACAAACTACGGTTTGAATGTCAACTTTTCTGTTTCTATTTTGTTCTGAATCAAGTTCCTGTTCAGTTCATCCCACACATGGCTGATTTTGAACTCTCTTGAAATGAAGATAAGCAAGAGTGTTTTCAGGTACTTTGGAGCCATGCTTGGTGTCTGCTCTGGAAAGCACAATTTCATATTTTGAAACTGTAAGTTGTTATAGGGGATTTTTAAAAAAATTTGGCCACAGTATTAGAAGATCCCAGCTATTTGTGCATCAGATCAATGAATCCACAGTACAATTTAGAAATATCACTGAGCTTTTACTGGCATAGCCTTGAATCCATAAATAATATAAACAGTGCATGTGCCATGCAAAGAAATGAAGTGTTCCTCCTGCCTTTTCAGAATCACCAAAGCCAAGCAAACAGCTGGACTACAACAGGGGCTCACTCCTAGGTGTAAGAGCTAGGACAAACTGGATCACCATCAGTTTGCTCCAGCTGAGCCAGCTGGAGAGGCTGCAGAGGATACCTTCCTGCAGGAAGTCATCTTATGTTAGTGCTCAGCTGGTTGTTCACTTCCCTTCAGGAAAAAAATAGCTGAAGAAATGCAAAAGATAAAAAGCAGTTAGCTCACAGCTCTTAGGGAGGAGAGGGGATCATCTGAGGAACTCATGCCTGAGAACATAAGCAAGCCCTTTCCAAAATAGGCCTATAATTAGAACAAATGCTTCTCTTACTTGCTGCTGGGAGAGACATCTCCATCTTCTCTAGGTTCTCCTGTTCATTTTCTAGTCTCTGTTGGCAGAACCATAACCAGGACTGGTTATAAGTCAGGCAGAAAAGCTCACAAGGATTTAGAGGCCTATGGCATGAGTTTGGGATGGAAGAAATAGAGCAGAAGTGGAGAAAAATGGTGGTTCTTAAAAAAGTATGAAATGTCTCATTACAAATCTAGTTACAATAATGAATAGTCATGTTTCCAGCTGCCCAGGCTATTCCAGACCTTAAAATTGATAGCATGATGAATCAGGAGACATATACATAATTTATTTTGTAGGGCAGAGAGCTGCATCATATGAAGAACTTGATAATGTTCAGTTTGGGCTTGCCTGATAGTCCAAGATCTGGACTCTTGATTCAGCAAAGGTCTGACCAGGCAACACATCTTATGTGAAAACAGATATGAAATCGCCTTAAAACAATGTGAGACTCTCTTTACCCAAGATTTACTCCTAAACTTTGCCTGTCCCAGCTCAAACTGGCTTTGAGCTAACTGGTGACATCTCCCATAAAACCAAAGTCAATTTTATTTACTGTAGCTCCATGTAAACTTGTACAATGCCAGTTAAGAAAGTAAGTGTTACCACTCCTCAGTGTATCTCAGTAGAGTCATACTGTTTTAAAATACACTGTAAATGCTTAGACATGCAAGAGCAAAAGGCAGAGCAAACACTGCAGAATTCTTACTTTTTTCTAGGAGTTTCTCTTACCTTTTCTAGGAGTTTGAGTTTCAGTCGTGTCAGGTGATCCACCACTGAAGGATCTGCCATTATCTACTGGAAGAGCAGGCAGGTAAAAACATGTTAAAAAGCTAAACAGAGGCAGATAGGTTTTCAGTGCTCATTTTTTTTCCCTCCACAGTCTTCTCAGAATAATTCCATTATTAAAAGACAGTAATACAAGAAGAGTAGAAATTGAGACAAGCAGATAAAAGCTTCAGTTTCACTCCCAGGTAAAAATGAGTACAGGCGTTCACAACATCACAGACACAGATTTTCCTGCCATTTCTCTCAACATACTTTTGTGCTGCAGGCTGCTCACAGGAAGGTAACTGAGACTGAATATTTATTTGTCTGTTCCTAATGGTTGCTATCCTTCCCTTGGAAGCATCACTAAGCCTGGCATCTGTGTTGTTAGAGCCTTCTAATTAGTTCAGAGGTTTGTGCCTGTAACCTGGTTGCTATAGTTTGTAATGTCAATACATAACATAAACAATTTAATCTCCAGGCACAGAAGCTTGTGTACCTTTGGTAAGGCAAATGCCTGGCACATTAGTGGACAAGAAAAAAAGAAATAAAAGCCAATGGTTCTTTAAAACAAGCCCAGTGCCAGCGGTCAGATTATGATCTTGCTGAATGGTGCCTTTTTATTCCACTATAAGGGGTCTGCACACTTTTGACAAAGCCCTTTACATGAGTTATTACCACACAGTAACTAAAAAAATGAAGGAGCATAGCTGGAACTCACCCCTGGGTAAGTTCAAGAGCAAAGAGGCTATGGGGTAACATCCTTTTGGCTACCATCTCCCAAGAAACCTGTAGAGTGTCTCCCTCTCCCAGCAAATCCCCACCAGCATCAAAACAGGGTAACATTTATCGGTGACAACCTTAAAATGAACAGCAAGGCAAGAGAAAAAGAGTCAAGTAACAGACACTCCTCAGTATCATATTTTAAGGCCAGTTCTGCTCCCAGGAGAGACAAGTTACAACCCCTTCCTCACTCGGAGGTCACAGCAAAACTGCAGCAGAGCCAGTGCTGGCAGCTGGAGCAGCTCAGAGATGCTCCTAAGCTGTGTGAGAGCAGTACAGATCACCTCCCCCAGCTGTGACCCACACAGGCTGGAGGTCACTGGAGAAATTAGGGAAACCAAGGGACAGGGATCCCTAAAACAGCTGTGCTGTGTCAGAGCTGGGGTTCAGCTTCCTCTGGCAGGGCTCTGTGGTGAATGGCAGGAGTGACAAGCCAGGACAGAAAATCCTCTCACCTGCCAGCAGTTCTCCTGGGAAACAACTCATTGAAGTCCATTTCTGTACTTTAAAACCCCAACAAGATTTTTCTCTGACATCTTTGAGACCTTCATCCAAGCAGCTGCAACAGTGTTTGACAAGGACCTTCCTAGTTATCTTAACCATAAGCATGAGCCTAGTAATGTCAGTAAACTGCATCATTATAGTTTGCTTCTGTGCTGGGAAAGACACCTACCCCTTTTTGATTGCTGGTGAATATTGAGCTGATTATTTTACCATCAACTGATTTAGTACAGCGCCCCTAAAAACTAAATTTCTAGAGCCTATGTTGCAGTATGAATAGAGGGTTACAAATAAGTTTGACAAAAAGAACCAGCTATAAGCATTCCATTAAAAGTACAGCACCAGTGTTAAGCAACTGAATTTACTAAAGAGGAAATGATGATAAATTCTTGCTTGATGTGACAGGTATCCCAGAGAAAATCCAATACTAGGAGGAAAAAATAAAAATAAAAAAGGCAGAAAAAGCAAAAAGCTTTCCAGCAAAGCTGCTAAAGGATCTCTCTCTTCCCACACTTATGGATGCCTTGGTTACAGTGTGATCCTTACTCTTGGGACATCTTACAACCTGCTAATTAATGGGGTGCCAGAAATGTGCCAGCCACACACAAGATCTTGCTGAAAGGGATCTGTAGCTACACTGAATCCCAAATAAGGGATCACACTTGAGAATGAGGATTCAAAAGAGCAAAACCAGACAAATTTAATCCTGCAGAGGAATAACAGGTGTGTTACATGCACCTCACAGGACATAATTATTCTGCTCTATTTAGCAGCGCTGAAGTCAGTTTGGACACTGTGCCTATTTTTAGACATGGTGGTTTAGAAGGAAAGTAAGTCCAGGAAAAAAAAATAAATAGAAAGGATGCATTTACAAAAAGGAAGGTTCTAAGGAGGACTTTAAAGAACTGGCTTTGTTTAATTAGTAAGTAGCTGGTGAGAAGAGGACAGGCCAGAATCTTTTAAATAAGTGAGAGGATGCAATCAAAAAACGGGGTGGACTGGGGGAGTTCCATCTGGAAAAACACAGGCATTTGGCTTAATGAGGAAGAGAAAGCCTGATAAAAATGGGGAAAGGAATCTTCATTAACCTCTAAGGGAAATGATGGAGCAGCTATTAGACAAAAAAAAAAACTTTCACAGAAGTTGTTTAGGAACAATTAAAAAATCAAATGTGTTGAACCATTGTAGGACTCCTCAGATACAAGAAAGGATTAGATAACCTGATGAGGTCCATACCAGTATTGCATTTCTTTGATGTCTTTTATTGATTCTGATATTTTATATCCTTAATTTTCATTTCTGTGAGTTCAAAAAGAGAATTTAAAAAGATATTATGATAATAATTATTAGAGGGGTGGAGCAACTCTGCTGTGAGGAAAGGCTGAGAGAATTGGGATGGATCAGCCTGGAAAAGAGAAACTTTAGGGTGACCTAGCTGTGGCCTTCCAGTGTCTGAAGGGAGTCTACAAGAAAGATGGAGAGGGACAATTTACCGGGGCCTGGAGTGGCAGGACAAGGGGAAATGACTTCCCACTGACAGAGAGCAGGTTTAGATTGGGTATTAGGAAAACATTCTTCTCTGTGAAGCCCCGGAACAGTTTCCCCAGAAAGGTTGTGGCTGCCTGATCCTGGGAGGTGCTCACTAAGACATTCCATAATTCAGTCTTTGTCTTTTGGTAATGACTGCAGGCAATCTCAGAATCCTGGCTAAGAAATCAGAGAGCATGACAGTACTACCAGGAAAAGCAAATAATTTACCCCAAAGTTCAAAAGTTCAGCCTTGTACAGACCCTTGACTGTTTCAAGAGTGGGCTTTGCAACCAACCTGCTGCCTGAAGTTCGTAGAGACATGAAGACATTTCAAAGACATTGACACCCACACCTTCACCCTCAGAATTTTTTGTAAAAACATGAGCACACGTCTTCTTCCTTGTCAAAGCTAGCACGAGCGTGGTTTGCTCACTGAAACTTCCACTCTTCCTGAGAAGAGTAAAATCATTTGTGAAGAGGAAAGCCAAAACTACTGCACCCCACAAGCCTCTGCAGTGGGCTTTTTAATGCTTTTTAATGCTTTTAAATGCTTGCCAATCCAGCACACTGCCCTAACAGATTTGACTGCATTTTTATAATATTATTTATAAAATTATATTTATATACTTATATTTAAAATATATATTAAATTTATAACAATGATTTCTAAATACAAAGAAGCCACCAATTTTGTAGCTTCAATAAGCAGAGTAAAAAGGAGTTGAAGATTGGACATCTGGGATCTTATGGCCCTTCAAGGACGTTGGAGTAACCAGAAGAGTCCAGAGGGGATTAAGGCCTGGACAGCTGGAGACTCCATCTCCGAGAAAATTATGATAGAGGGTTCAAAGAATGACGACCAAATTAGCACGAAGAACGAGAGATCAATAAGCAACAGAGGATAGCACACTGATTACTGAAGAGAATCATGCAACTCAGAACCAATGAACGTTAATTTAATAATTAATTTAATAAGGAATTTAATAGTTCCTTCGCTACAAGATTTACAAACAAGCGAAAAGGCGGGAAGGGAACCACCAACCCGTCCCCTCATCCTATTGGCTGCCGCCAGCCGCGCCTCCATTGGCTGTCTCCCGCGCTGGGCGGGGCCGGCGGCCCTTTTGAAATGGCGCGGGACTCTCCCATTTGTGGCTGCCGCGGAAGGGGCGGGGCCGGGGGCTCGCGCCGGCTTGCCCGGGGTATCCCAGCAGCCATTTAGCGGGAGGGGGCGGAGCCCGGCTGAGATACGCTGTCGCCATTGGTCGACGGCCGCGGAGCGTCAGGAGCTCTGGCCAATGGGCGCAGAGCTCCGCCCCACGAGGTGTGGCTGGCGCGGCGGCGGGCGGCCCGGGGCGGCCATGACCGAGGCTTCGCTGCCGCCGCCGTGACGGCGCGGGGGGCGCGAACCGCCCCGGCCGCCGCATGGACGCGCAGGAGGAGGCGCGAAGGCGCAAGCTGGAGGCTGGCAGGGCCAAGGTGAGGGGAAGGGCTCCCCGCTAGGCGGAGGCTGCGCCCGCCCCGGTCTCTGTGCGCTGAGAGGGCTGCCAGGCCCGGGGGGCGGCTTCGCCTCAGATCGCCCCCGGTCTCTCCCCTCCGTGGGGTTGGGCGCGGGCAGCGGCGGGGCCGGGGTCTGCTGCCGGCCCGGGACTGTCCACAGAGGCCGGGGCTTCCCTGGCACCATGGCTCCGCAGGAAAAGCCGTGCCCGGAGGTGTTTGTGCGTGCAGGCTGCCTGCGGGGCTCCCATCCTGCTACACAGGCATAGAAACATTACCTGGGGTAGACACAGAGCAGCTGACAGCAGTGCATATACCGTCCCTCAGGCTCTCTTTTCTTTGTTTGGCTTCTTTTTTCTTCCTGACTAGGGAAGGATTTTTGGAAGGATCCCATTTTTGCCTAGAATTCAGTGTTGGTGGGAATACTGCATTTCCAGCTGAGGATCCCAAAGAACAGGTGTTGTTTTATTATTCCGCTGGCTCATTGGCTTCCCTGTGTGTCTGCAGGTGGGTTAGCAGAGAGCTGGGCTTGGTTTGTTGGTTTCCAGTCACGCCGGTGGAAAACACTTCATAAGCTTTGAACATTTAAGTGTCTTCACTTGTGTGTAGTTTAGGGACCTCTGTAGAGCTCACGGGATGAGCCTATATAAAGATAGCATTCTCCAAGCAATTATTACTTGCAACCATGTGTTTTAACTCTGGTTGTGTTCTAATCC